TTAGAGTGGCTCAGGTTATGCTAGCATCTCTATAGTTACGCTGATATAGGCTTAGACTACTGGAGGACATAGGGACCACTTTTCATCTTCCGTTTCATTCTATTTACATTCTATTCTCCATTCTGCAGTATTTGTTAGTTCAATCTTTAACCTTATGAATCTCTCTGCTCATCGGGTCTGTTCCTGTTTTGGTGCGACTCCATCCTGGAGAGAAATATCAGCTCTGCTCCTGCCCCTAACACCTTTATTTATAGATTTGGGAGCTTGGCCTGTTTTTCAGTGTAGTCGTTTTCCTCTGACTGTAACTGGATGTGTTCTCTTTGATCCTCTGACATGGGAGCTGGCCCAGAGCTTATCTGCCTGGCTATGTGTTTCCTGGAGGGGGCTCCTTGTAGAGCTGGTTGACAGTTGCCTTTTGTATCTCTGCTTCTTTCTGTATGTCTGCTTCTGTATTCTTGAACCCCAGTTACCCGCGGCAGATGGCCTGGTTCTGCTTCAGGTTTCTTCCTGTTAAAAGGGAGTTTTTCCTCTCCACTGTCGCTACAAGCATGCTTAGTAAGGGAATGCTGTTGAGTGTATGAGTCGATGCAATGAGCTGGCTTAGATAGAAAACTTTGAAACAATCCGACTCTATGATCTTGTTGAATTGTCTCTCCAAATGTGCCTTGAAATGACATGTCTTGTGAATTGCCACTAAATAAATAAACTGAATTGAATAGAATTATTCTTAACTAACATCAATCTTTTAGGTTCAAAAGACACAATGATGTTAAGTCAAGTTAAATTTATTTAGGAAGCATGTCTAAAAACAGCAGGTTGTTACCAAAATGCTGAACAAAGAAGAGTTAGTGACATAAAATAGAAATACATTAGTTTATTTAACATTCATACACCAGTACTGAGTTAATGTTGCTGATAAAAAGAGACAGAACCAGATTAAACACAAAAATGGTGAGCAGATGCAGATTGCAAGTCACATGGAATTTATAAGGTGTATTTACATTATTACATTATTTCTCATTCATGAAATCATTTCGTCATTTCAACCTGAACATTTTCCTGGGTGATGTTCTATCTCTGGTCAGTTTTAGTACTTTATACGTTTTTTTTTTATTTACTACAACACATTTTCACAGCAGGTCAGTTTTTGCAGGAATTACAGAAACATAATTTTTGTACATGCTGAGATGTGCTGAAAATAATGTGCTGCACACAAGCTTTCAATAATAAAACAAAAGAAATGATAGAAGAGAACTAAAACGCAGGTTTATCAAGTGAACCTCAAATAAGTTAAAACTCATTTAGTTGAAGGAACTTCACAGAAGATCCACGATACACAGTAACCCCAGCATATAGAGGCTGAGTGAATGTGGTGTGGACTCTATGGAGGAGAGTCAGGGTTTCAGAGACGCTGTAGAAACACAGAATACCTGCTCTGTGATCCAGATACACTCCTATTCTGGAGGAAACTGGACTTGCTATGGGACATCTCACATCATTGTGGACAAATTTACAACTATTTTCACCACAACGCAATGCCCAGGAATGACTGTTTGATCCAAATAAAAACTCATCTGAGCTGTTATTGGATGATACTCCTAACCGTATTGCACTTCCTCTCCACTCCACCTCCCAGTAACAGCGTCCAGTCAGACGCTGTCTACTCAGAGCCTGAAAATAAACAGGAACTGCACTTGGATGAGAGGAAGGTAGCTGTTGTCTGATCACAAATGTTGCTTTTCTGTTCCCCTCAGATAAAAAGAGATTTCTGCTTGCTCTGTCTGTATCTATTGTGATTTCTTTTGCATATTTCAAGAATCCAGCTCTGATCTCTGGTTCTGATTTTGGTTCTGACAGTAGAACGTCCACATCAGTTATTGCCACTGAGATGTTTGTCCCTGTGTCTCTCAGGATGTCCTCTAGTTTCTCTCTGAGCCCCAACACAGCTGCTGTCACATCCTCAAAGTATCTCAGAGGACGAATATTGATGCTGGATGAGTGTGTAGACTCACTGAGTGCTGACAGTGAGGGGTAGTT